TGCTCTCATTTCTTTTCTCCTTTATTTTTCATACTAGGAAATTCTTTTAAGTATAGTACATTGAAATCCATTTTGTCAAAATATGTACTTATTAGCAAAATTACTGTAAAAGTTAATGGAGAAATAAACTTTAATTACAGAATTCTCGAGAAGTCTACTTAAAGTTAATTTAGTACAAATTCACATATGAATGCAATAAACAACTTGGACAGAACTTCTCCATGACAAAACTTCATTAGACATTTATAAAAAAAAATCCTTTGTGGCTTCATCACTTTCTTTTTGAGAATCTTTTTTTTTTTTTTTTAACATTTCAAATTCCAAAAATGCTTCACTGTTCTTCATTGCTACTTAGGGGAGCAAAGTATAGATCTTATCGATTTTACTTACTACTTCAAAAAATCACCTTACTCAACTTAAGGAGGAATCTATCACCAGGAAGAGTAAAAACAGGCTCATTCATCATTTCCTCCTCAATAACATACTGCTGATTCTCCACTATATACCTCAGTTGAAGTCAGTCATGAGTGTTTTTAAAACAGTTAAAACTCTTAATTTGTAAAAACTTATGTACTTAGTTTTTAAAGTCACTGCCTAGCAAGGACAGTACTAATTGTATTCATTAGAAACTAATTTAACAAATTCCTACCATAAATATTTAATGTTCTAATACCTGTTTTTAGCCAAAACTTCATGAAAGAATGACCTAGTTTAAGAAACAGACTTACCAATATGTATATATATATATATGACTAATGGTATGTTTGCCTAAACAGACATTTTCATTTAATAGAATTTAAGTTTTATTTGCACTAGTGACTCACCTACTTAGTGACAACATTTATTCTCAAAACAAAAATACATTTATATAGCCTTATCAATAAATGGGCTTTTCAAAAAATAACAAATAATGTACAAGGAAAAGGTTGAAGAATAAAATAAATGTTAGCACAATTCCAGAGAGTTATCATCCTCTTGGCTTAGAACTCGTTTTTGATTTATTTTTTTTTTTTTTAGTATTTTGAATGACATTATTAATAGATGACTAAAATACTCCCTACATGTAAGTAATAGCCTACATGTAATTAATATTTTTACTGGTCTAGTTTACAACTAATCTTTAACCTAATACCTAGTTGTGTATTTGTTCGAATATCTCATACTGACTTTAAATCTATAGCTTAGTGCAATAAAAGTATATACTACTAGAATAAAATGTGATTTTAAGATGCCCTTTCCTAGAAATTTTCTCATTTATGCCACTGTTAATGAAAATCTAGGTAATAGATTGTTACTGTTAACTAAGTTCTGCGGTACTGAACATTAGCAATCACTAGCAAATAACGAACATAATCTTTTCTGTTCCATTGACTATTTAGTATATTGATTTATATGGATGTAGTCATTATTTTCCAGATGTTTCCACTGAGCTTTTATAGTGACAGAACAAGTGTGTTCCATCAATAAACAGATCCTTTCTAAATTGAAAAAAGTGGGTGAAACGTGGCACATTTGAAATACAGTGAACCTGCTATGTAATTGTTAAGGCTGATTATAAATATAATTACTACAGAAGCTGTCAAAAAATAATCCTACATCTGCCCCACATCTTGTTTCTAGGTTCAAAGTCGCAGAAAGTTGTTTATTCGCCTCATGCTATTCACCATAACATTATCTTTAGTCTCTGTTAAAAATAACAATAGAAGTAGAAAACATCAGAAACAGATAGATTAAAAACGCTATCTCAGGTCACCAAAGACCAAATGATCTTCATTTTTAGCAAATCAACATAAGCTAGTTTACTAACAAAGATATCATTCTTAGAGATGGACAATGCTCTTTTAGGTAAGAGGTTTCATAAGTTATTTTATACATACATTTTCCCATTTTCCTGATTAATAAATAGTATAAAGTAGCCATGTTACATAAACTATCATAATTCTATTTCTAAGATAGTAAAGCAAACCAACAAATAAATGCTTCTGTGAAATATTTTCCTTTCATCCATTATTCTTTCAAAATTCTAATACATAATTCATTTGATGAGAAGTTCTAATAGTACACATACTATATTTGCCAAATTCATAGCTGAGATGAAGATTACAAAAACATCTAGAAGGTGAAAAGTTTCAAAATATAATTTTTTTCAACAGATAATCAAAAATGCCACAAGGAAGTCAATTAAAGACTTTATAAATAATACAATTTCACCAAAATACTAATACATTGTAAACTATGTGCATGTGTAGATGATACTTTCCACTACCTCTATAAAATAGATTTAGATAAAATATTTAGAATCACTACTATGAAACAAGCTTGAGGATACAAGTGATCCACCTTTAAGAAAGTCACAAATTATAACTCATGAGTTTTAAATGTAAGCTCAACTCAGTTCCCTTCAGTATGAAGTCATAGTATTTAACCAGATATATTAAGCTTTTGCAATAAAACCCACTGTTCACAGGATGACAGCTAATCTCCTTTCCGATTCTTTTCCATGTTTCAGAGCTCCATCATAGTAGACAATAGTTGTATCAACAATTTCAGGTAAAAACTTCAGTCATTTGTGATTTCAAATATCCCGTTATAATTAAATCCTATTGTCCTCTGTTACCACTTGTCCCAAATCTGCAATTTCCTTTTCAGTCCCTCAGTTACTTTATTCTTCACCCTAAACTTTCTCCTTTAAACTATTGTACTTAATTCTCATGAGATAGCTTCTCCAGATTACCTTTAATCTCAGGGCCAAAGCATCCTTACATCCTTGATATTTTCCTGTGGTACCCACCTATCCCACCTGAACTTTTCAGAGTCTTTCCTTACATTTTTATTTTGTTGAAGAATCTCATCCTCAACATTACATTCATTTATAAGGCTGTCATTGATTCTGAAACCCCTTTAAAATGCCTGTTTCTTCTTACCTCTTGTAAATGCACTAAATTATTCCTTCAGATAGCACATATGCTTCTAATCCATTGGAATGTGGAATTCCTTTTACATTTAACCCTTAGACATATTAAATTAAATTAATGTGTTAAATTAAAGCACAATAATTACATACACTGTTTCTTTAGCTGTTTGAAATACTGATGTTATCCCTATTGGACTGTATAGATACCAGACAAGGGCTGTATCTTCCAAAGCACACAACACCTGTCTACTACATCACTTGGCTCATGTACGATGATTCACTAAATAAAAGTATTAGGAAAAGCATAAATAAACAAAAGATGTTTAAAAATCTCTATAGCTTAACTTTAAAACATCTATGGCCTTTCATCTCCACGAACAGCTTTTATACTGTGGCTTCTATTAAGTCTTGCTTTCATTACTCTAATAATTTACAAACCATGACTGGAATTTAAAGTGCAAGTTGAGAGCTGATATAGGGTATACATTTTTACATCCCATTATTAGATTCTTTGAAAATCAGCAGTCAACTCTAGAATTCTGACATACAATTGATTCTTCATACAAGGCAGTCGTTTCAGCACCGCAAGAAGGAACAGCGCATCCTCCGCTTTGGGGGGGTTCCCTTCCCTGTAACTGGTTTAGTCTAGCTTCTCTATCCCAGGGGCTATCGATCAAGAAAGTTCAATAAATCACAATTAACAACTGGAAAGAATACCAGGAAAGGCAACCTGTTTACTTAAAAGAGAGGAAGAGGTGCCATGGAGAGCTCCTTTTCATTAACCCAGCAGCCAAATTAAGCTTTGTCCTCAGAATCTACCGACAGAGATTTTTTTCTACCTAATAATAAAAGCAAGTCTCATTCAATTTAGTCCCTTCTCGAGCACCGTCTCAACCTGTCAGATTTTGACAAGGGGGAAAAAATTAAGAGGCGGGGGTGGGGGGGGGGAGCCTGGGATTTCCCATCTACCTCGCTTCATCAGTAAGTCTAGGATTTCCTTCACTCGGAACTAAGCCCTCAGGTTCCAAATACAGTTTTTTAACCCCCACCCCACCCCACCCCGCCACTCAATTACACATACCCCTAGCCAAGTACAACAGAACCACAGCAGAAACCCCACAACCGGCTCGCGATGCCTCTCGGAAGTCATGCCCTGCAGCGACTGCCTGTCGCCGAACTGAGGGATTCTACCCAAACACAACGCCACGGAATCAGACATGCAGCGCACACACCGCTTCAGCAGAGAGGGAAAGGCGACCCGGGAAAAGTGCGCTCCTCGCGAGCTCCGGGACGATCCCGAGGAGGGGTTCCCAGGAGGGAGGGGGGCAGAGGAGCCGGCGCGGGGAAATCCTTCCCTCCCAAGTAGAAAGAGCTCGATCCCCGGCCGCCAGCCGGACCCCGTCCCCCTGAGGACACCGAGCAGCGGGCAGAGGGCCCTGTGCTCAGGAGGCAGCGTGCAGGCACTTTCCGAGGTCCGATGCAAGCTGATCCCCAGCTCCCGGGGGAGACAGGGGTCTCCCAGGGGTGTCAGAGGAGGTGCCCGGCTCGGGAGCGGCAGGCAGCCTGCCGGGGAGCAGAGTTTCGCCTGGCGGGCACGGGCGTCGTGTCCGGCCGGCGCCGGGGCAAGCACAGCCCGAGCACCGCGGGGCCGCCGGGGGGGTGGAGGGGCGGGGAGGGGGTGGCGACGGGATTCCCCCTCTCGGCGGCCGGCGTTAGCGGCGGGAGCGCCCCAGCCCGTGGCCAGCGGCGTGCCGGGGACTGCGGAGCCGGGATCCCGCCGCCCGCGCCGGCAGCGAGGAGCCCCGCAGCGCCCGCCGCACCGGCCCCTGGGTCCCCGGGGGCCAAGGACTCCGGCTGCGAAGGCACCCGGGCCCGACACCCCAAGGGGCCGGCGCCGGTTCCCGAGGGACCCCGCGGAAACACCCCAACCTCCCGCAGCTATCAGCGGTTGTAAAACGCCCCCCCACCCCGAGCCCCCTCCTCTGCCTGGCCGGCCCCGAGGCCGCAGAGAAGGGTCACCACGAGCGGGAAGCCGCGGCCGGCGGCGCCCCACGGCCGCGGTGGTCCCCGCCTTGCGCCCGGTTACCTGTCAGGACTCCGACGCGGATTTGATGGTCGTGGTTCGTGAGAATCATTCCCTCGGTCGCCATGTTTCCCAGCGCAGTCACCGCACTGACAGGAGCCGGGAGAAACCGGAGCCCGGAGCGCGCGGGCCGGGAGCGCGCTCGCTGGGGAGAGCGCGAGAGCGAGAGCGCCCGGGGAGCGCGGGGCGAGCGCGGCCGGTGGGGGGGCGGCCGGGCGCCGGGCGGCCTGCGCCGGGAAGAGGCCGCGCCGGGAGCGCGCGAGGCCGCGGGAGGGGCGGAGTCAGGGCGCGCGACCCCGAGCCCGGCCGGAGGCGACGAGCCGCGGGCGGCGGACGCGGCGGCGGCACCTGGAGAGCGCGCGGAGGCGTCCGAGCGCGGCCGGGAGCGACGGCGCCGGAGACGCGGCCGGCAGGAGACTGAGGGGAGAGGAGCGCACACGCTCGGGAGGCTGCGGGGGTGGACTCGGGGTCGGGGCGGAGCCACCCCGCGAGGCGTGTAACTCGTGGAGAGAAAGGGGAGGAGTGAGCCCGGCCGCCGCGCGCCGGGAGCGGGAAGGAGCGGCCCAGCCGGAGAGGGGCCGGAGGACGCTCCGGGGCGCGCGAGTAGCGCCCGATTGGCTGGAAGACGCGGAGCGGGTGCGCGCGAGGCCTGAACGCCTCCCCGGCGGAGCCCCAGACAGAAGCAATCCCCCGCCGAGCCGGGCGCTGCCCGTCGGCGCCCCGGGCCGCCGCTCGTCAGGGGCTGAGGGCTGCTCTCTCGGGGGCGCTAGGGGAGGGGTGCGCGCGTGGGGCCTCTCCTCGCAGCCCTTGGGAGCGGCCGTTGCCCCCCCGCCCCCCAAGGAGCCAAGGAACCAGGAGGTGGTTCAGAAAGCTGCGTTGGGCGGGGGTGGGGCGCCCTGGTAACCGGGCCCGCCGCGGGCTGTGAAGGTGTTTCTCGTCCCGCCCGGTCTGGGCGGTTTGCTTCCTTTTTCTGCTCGCCCTGCCGGGGTTCCCGCTGCTCCTAGGCTTCTGAACCCCGTCTCCAAGTCCGGCCCAAAGGGACGGTCTGCACTCGCGGAAGTTCGGAATCTGCGGCACAGCCTCTGAGTGGAGCTTGAGGACGGCTCTGCTCGCCACTGCCCCACGGTTTCGTGGCCTTCAGCTGCCTCACCTGGACCACTGCTTCGGGGTGGAAACTCGACGCTTCGGGAGGAAGAACACGCTCTTCCCTCCAGAATGACAACCCCCAGGAAGCTGGAAGTAGAAGCCAGGCCCTGCAGTTGAGTTAATTTCAGTCGTTGTGGGATAAGAGATGATCATGAAAATAGCTGCTGTTGCCACTTGTTTTGTGTTTCATGAAATGTTATTGATCACCTGTGGCTTTTTCACATTGGTTTCTTAGTTCCCTTCTAGTGCATTCAACTTCTGAATTTAAAAATTATAGGCTCAGATGGGTGTGTATATTAACATGGATGTATACATCGCTGTGTGTATGTATAGAGCATATATTCCTGTACTAAGTCATGGTAAAATGAAAAAGTGAAATTTAAAAAAAAAATGTATAAGCACAAGTTTGTGCACAACTAAAACCTTCAGAGATAGTTTGGTTTTTTAATTGGTCCAAGTTGAACATGAACTTATTTATCCTGAAACTGAAGAGGTACGTTGTTATGTATTTCATTTTAAATAGTGGATTACAAAGATGATGATGAAGTGGGGTAAATGAGTGAAAAAATTATGACTGTGTATTGCTAGTATTTTGGACAGTGGGTTAAAAATTGAAGCCAGATCATGCATGATCCCTAGCCCTAAATTATTACCATAGAGCGTGGTAGCTACCAGATTCTCACTAGTTTCAATAAGAGACAGCATGTGAAAGCATGACTAAGACAATCGTTACCCTTATGTCAGTTTGAAGAGGACAAGCAAACGGTTGGTTACATTGTTACCTTGCTAGCTAATCTTTATTCCCTAGGGTACCCTCAAATTTAAAATTATTAGAAAGGCCCTTGAATTTTTACAGAGATAATTTTTAAACGTGCCAACTAATACATTCGTGACCTTAAAAAAAAAAAATTGGTCCTTTTTCTTCACCCTTTAAATAAGGTGGTAGACTAATTAAACACCCTTTTAAGTAAAGTGTAAACTAAATAAGAACCCTTTCAACTTAGACATTCCATAATTATTCGTGGAAAGAAACTAGCACGTTTGTTTCACAAGTAAATAATGGAAGACAAGGGGCTAACTTTCTGCATCTATAAAAATAGCAATGGTGAAATTCATTAAAATTTAATTGGGAATGGTGACTGAATCTTTTTAAAGTGTATGGAGGTTTGCTGAGCTACTAACATTGCTAGGTAAAAAGTATTAATAGGACTAAACAATTATAATAGGTAATAATATATACTTGTCTTCCAACAATATTCCTCAAGTATATTTATCTCTGCTGAATTTAACAAACTAACAAAATTTACACAGGAAAAACCTAGTGACCTAGTAAGGTCACTAGTGTGGCCTTTAGCCGGTAATTATTAAATGAATATTGCAGTATGCACATGTTCTTTTACTCCTGATACAGTACAACATTTCATCAAAATTCATCCTGGAAGCTAGAATGTAACAAAATTTTCTAGAAGGTAGGAAGACAGGGCCTCCCCTGGTGGTGCAGCGGCCTTTGCAGCCTTTGCAGCGTCAGTTTGATCCCCGGCCACCGGTGAGGGTCCCCCCCAAAAAAAAAAAAAAAATAGAAGGTAGGAAGACAGAATAGCATTTTCAAATATTGGCAAATATCTCGGGAAACATGTGGGAGAGGAAGAGAACCACAAATGAAAAAGTTGAGTTTCTATGTAAAGAATTAGAAATTTATTATCTCTATCCATTCTTAAGGTTTTAACAATGGCAACAGGCCTTTCCTCCAACTGGGATTTAACCAAAAGAGAGCTAAACAACAAAGAGGCTTTCATAATGACTTTCATTTGAAGATGAAACTTTATCAGTAGAAATGAATTACTGAATGAGTAAAGGCTGAATTTTGCCTAGTAATAGTGTGCACTTTACCCTCCTCATACTTAAGCTTTCCTATGGTTAATCAGTTTCAATATAAAGAAGGAAAAAACTTACTCTAAGGGGTGAAAGCCACATTTTGAATATAATTAATGCCTCTGAACTGTGCACTTTAAAATGGTAAGTTTTGTTATGTGTGTTTAGCAAGTTTTTAATGGATACAAAGCAAAGCTTGGGATGATTTTAACCTATTATTTTTCCCCAGAAGCAGCTAGATTATAGTCAAAATGAACTTTACATTGGCTAAATTAGGCCATGTTTTAGGTCCTCAGGCTGCTATGACTAAGTGCCAGACTGGCTGGCTTAAAACAAAATCAATTTATATTCATGGTTCTAAAGACTGAAAGTCTGAAATCAAGGTATCAACAAAGCTACCCTCCCTCTGAGGGAAGAAGCTTCCCCTCTAGCAAAGAATTCTCTGTGCCTGTTATTGGCTTCTAGTGGTTGCTGGGAATCCTCAGCATTCCCTAGCGTTTAGCTGTACCCACTCTAATCTTTTCCATCTTTACCGGTTCTTGCCTGTGTGTATTTTCACTTGCCTTTCTATAAGGATCAGTCATTGGATTTAACTAATTACCCTACAAAGATCAGTTTCCAAAGAAGTCACATTCTGAGTTTCTAAGTAGATGTAAAATTTAGAGGGGCACTATTCAGGCCATTATAGGCAACTGATAGATTGAAATTATCTATAAAAACAGAAATTAAAAAATCAAAATGAGAAAAGATTCATGATTTCTTTAAAAACTAGGACTTAGAAATTAAACACAATATAGGTCCATAGAATAAAAAATACTGGGGAAACTTCTAATATTTGGCCAAAGTATCCTAATGCTTTACCCCCAGAAGTAGTTTTCTAAATTAGAATTTTCCAGTCTGGTCAAATAAATTTATTCATGCCACCTAATAATACTGACATTTCGCTTTTATTCTAATGCCCTTGTTATCTTTTAGTAAAATGAAGCTGAGTCACCTCAATTGCCCTTGGAGTCTGGTGGCACTAATTTGGGAACACTTAGGACAGTGTTTTCCAGGGTCTGCCATGTTTATTAAAATAAATTTTAAATTTTCCTTGGACCTTTGATTTTCTATTTTTGCTGCCCAGATTGCTGCTTGAATAATTACTCTGTGCCCCAGTCCTTTGTATTTCCTCACCCTTACTCTTCCTTTTGAAGTCCTCAACTGGAAATCCAGATGTACGAAGATATTTTAGTTGTAAATGACTGATCCTAGTTTAAATCAAAAGGAATTCATTGGCTAATGCTGTTAGGAAGTTCAGACGTGTATAGTTTCAGAATTGACTAGATTCAGAATCTGAAGCCATGCCACCAAGATGCCATCTTTCAGCTATGCTTTCTTCCTTGTTAACTTCTCACATGCGCTTTGTACATAGTGGCAAAGATAGTATTGGTCTCTCTAGTATATAATCTAAATTAGTAGTTTTTGCATCTGTCTAGGGAAACCTGGAGACTCAAAGACACTTTCAGAGGGTTTGCAAAGTGAAATATATTGTTATACTAAAGGCATTATTTGTCTACTTTCTACTATTTTCTCATTAGAGACAGTGGAACTATATGATGTACCATCATTTCAATAGCTAATGGAATGTATGTATATTTTTATGTTAAAAATTAATACAGTAAATATAATACATATAAGCTATGTAAACAAAAGCTCTTTTTAAGATTGTAAAGTCTGGAGGTCAAATTCTTTAGGATCGTAGATTTAAATCACATGCCTATCCCCAAAGCACTAAGTAAGGCAAGGGGAACAACATTTTCTGATTGGTAGATCTGAATCATGTACTCACTCAGAGGATGGGGGTCAGCTGTACCCCTTCCAGATGGCCTAAGATCTGAGAGGATGAATTTGAATACCATTGAAATGCTATACCCTGATAGCTTAGCAGTTAGTTCAATTCTTTTTACAGAGTCCTACCTCTCATCTGGATTTTATTCTTCTCAGAGGGCTTTACTTCATTAAGTAAAGACCTGCATAGTTGCATGTTAATTTTCAGAAAGTAGGGAAGTTCTTCCCAGGTGTGTCCTGATGATATACAAAGTCACTTATTTATATGACTGTTTATCTGGTAAAAGAAAATTAGGAACAGAAAAAGTTGACTTCTAATAAAGAATCTAAATTCAAAGAAGTAAATTATAGAGGAAGAAGAGAGTATTTGCTAGAGGAGGTAGGAATTGTTAGAAGGGAAAGGAGAATGAGATTTGTTAAATTGAAAAATAATATGTGGCCAGAAACAAATTTCTTAAAGAGCTCTACAAGGCCGTCAGTATATAAAAGTCAAGAAAAGATAGTCCCAAGCTTAAATGACAGAAATTTGAGTTTAGTTGACACTTTAAAAAATCAAAAACATTGTGCTTTTCTTAAACAATTGTGAGTTGGTTTCCATGCAATCAAATTTGGCTTAAAATAGAGTTGCCCCAGAAAATACTTTTATCTCTATGAAGCAACATAGAAACAGGAAATTATATTTCCCTAAGTGATCTCATTTAGGTTGACTAGTAATGGAGGATCTATGATTTATAGAAATATTTATAGTGTTTTAGCTTAAAATGAACCTTAAGGAAAAGTTTGAAAAGTTAGGAAGCATAAATGAATCTGTGAAGAAATCAGAGATGATGGATTTTCAAGTTGGCCTCAAAAACCTTATTTTACCATTATGGGTCTCCATGACTCCCGTTTGTCAGTCCGGTGTTGTCAACGCAACATACCATGTAATAATTACATTCCATTTTTATCTGCTCATGTGTCTCCTGCTGTGGTATTAATTGGCTGAAGAGCAAGTGTCCCTTTCTACCATGGGACCTTTTTGTCTTCACATTTCCTAATATTTGATGACTAAATACCAAACATATGACGCAATAGGACTTTGAACTGTCAGCAATGCAGGCTTCTCCCAAAGTGCCACTGGAGATGTAGAAATTTGCCTTGGCTTGTAACAGAGGCTTGCATAAAGCTTCTGTCTATAAAAGGTTGCCATAGTTCATACAAACATTACTAACACTGGGTTTCCTGCCTGGAGTTTTTTTTTTTTTTTTTTTTTTTTAAGATTTATCTATTTATTTATACAAGCACTGGGCACAGTTCCTGCCTGGATCTTTAAGGCAAAACTTTACCTACTGTCATTGCCCTCTTTGATGATTGCAATTGGGGACTAAGGATAGTATCAGACTGTTGTTGGTCTTATGTCATCTAGTAAAGAACTGTGATGAATGTTACTAATCATTTTGTGGCCATTGCCTGAAAAGACAACTTTGGGGGGTGAAATGTTAGCAAATATTCTTTAATACTTAGAAAGTCAAGGTAAAGTGAGATCAGAGGATTGGGGAAAGATCATGTACACATCTAAAAGTGATTTGGGGAAAAAAAGTTCTCTGATTTTAGTTATAAAATATTTAGATAGTGCTCTTTTAATCCAATTTTAAAATTGAGAATCTAAGGCCCTTAGGTTAAATGACTTGTAAAAAACAGTGGTCCAGTCAGATTATACTCTTGACTTTTGTTCTCTTTAATCAAATTTACTTGAACAATCTCTCAGGACAGCTAAAGCATGTAGGGACTAAATAAAAAGAAGTGACTTTCTTGAAACAGAATGTGGATTACACACTCAGTTGGTAAAACATGAAACTCATCATCTCAGTGTTGCAGAGCCTATTCCTTTTTGTGGTCAAGAGAGAAAAGGTATGAGTTAGATGGAATGTGAAGTGGCAGTAATAATAACCAGGCCCTGGTAACCAGCCTGTCAACAGCCCAAATTAAACGTGGGACTTTGGACATACTTTTAATATAACTGAACTCCAATTGCCTCTTCTATAAACCAAAGGAACTTTGTTTAAAAATCCCTTTTAATCCCCAAATCTGATTTTGTGAAAACCTTTTCCAGTCCAAAGTTACATTTTTTAAAAAATACCTTTAAAAATTTAAATTGACCTTGGGAGAAATATTTTTAATTCTTGCTTTATTTTGTTCATTACCAGAACATAAAAAGGAGTCTTACAGATTATGAAGTGTTTTGTAACAAATCACTTACCCCACCATGTTGACATGTACCTGCGGTGCATGGGAACTGCAAATAGTTATGTAATGCTCAATGCAGGATGTATGAGGGAACAGGGACATAGTGAAAGATGAGACTGGGGACATAGGCAGGAGGCAGATCATGATATGATCTATGAAGGGGTTTGTACTGTATACTAAAGTCAACAGGAAACCAGTAGGGGAGTGACATGATCTCATTTCTCTTTTAGAAAAGATAGCTTCAGTGGCGTTGTGATGGATTAGAGAGACTGGAAGCAGGGAAACCAATTAAACCTATGGTAATTAAGCAGGAAGAAGGACCTGAACTAAACCACGATGATAGAAGATATTCAAGGAATAGCTTCTTAGAAGGCAGAGTCAACAGGGCAGTTGGATGTTGTGGAGGAGCGTATGGCACATGATTTTTCTTATTTTGTATCCATTTTTGCTCATTTGCCAGAAATGGATCTGCCCAGAATTAAACACTTCACAGTTAGGGAGGAGCAACTTTTTATGGTCTTGTTGCATACAACATGCTTTGAATTCCATCATCTCAAAATCGAAAGCTACCAAATAATCAGAGACTGTTTACAATGAATAAATTCTTAACAGTTTTAAGGCCAACCTTCTAACTAGTATTTCCATTCAGTTTGGTGGGAACAGAGTTGGGAAACAGCACTAAAACAAAAGTTTGAGAGTTTAATTAGCACAAATAACAGTGCCTTTCTGTCCAAAGCAAATGGAGGGAAGTCTTCTCAACTTTCAGTGTTTCAGCTGATAGTGGGGCCTCAGAAAAAGGAGCCTTTCCTACCTCATCAAACATACTTCCTTTAGCTCCTTGTTGTGCCCTGTAGTCTGTGATCCCAGAAATCTCTAAGACAAGGTATGAGGGGATGGGGAAGAGACAGAAAAAAGGACAGCTAAAACATCGAGTGCTCTCATACTCTATTTATGCCTTTAAGATGATTTCAGAAGTCAAAGTAGTACTCACTCATATTAGAGTCATTTCTGCTGGTAGCTGCTCTGCCAATAGTTGTAGTTGCCATAGTACCTATCGGGAAACATTAGGAAAAAGAGGGCTTCCTTTGAGATTAAAAACTAGTTTTATTTTTAGTTGGAATGCTATTAACATTCATCACAACATCATACAATGTATCATGGCAGGACTGATTCCAGTTTTGGCACTGCTGTGAATTTTCTAGTTGTTTTAGAAAGTATTACATGGAATGGTATTTTTATAAAGTTGAGGTGGTAAAACTTTTTTTCTGTTGAGAGCCCATGTCCCATGGTGGAGGGGCAAATCTCTTGAGGATTTGCTTTCAAATAGGAATAATTTTGAGAGCCTACAAAATGTAACTTCTAATGCAACTTTTTTTAAAAAAAGATGATAAATATTATACATATAAATACAACCTAGACAAGCCAGATATATATTCCCCCAAAAAACTGGGTAGTGGAGAATGAATAAAAGATAAAGGTGGGTTGGGGAAGAAAGAAGAGGAGGCAGTGAGAATGATAGGCACAAGCTGAGAGAAGGGAGCTTAAAAAAAAGGAAAGAGGGAGAGGGTACTAAATGAGTTCTGTAATGAGTGTGTCCTAGGGTAGGATTGCCAGACTAAAATATTGACATCCAGCTAAACTCGGACTTCAACAAACACTCAACAATTTTTCTGCCCCAAATATGCATGGAAATGAAAAAGTTGTTTATCTGCTCTTCAGATTTAACTGAACAACCTTTTCCTATTTGCTAAGTATTACAACCCTTTCCTAGATATCTTGCTGCTTTTTTGAGTGTGTAATGAAAGCAGGTTTGGAATCTATTGTGACCCACTGAAATAGTCTTAGTATTATGTCAGGAACAGTTTACTTTTACTTTTTTTTTTTCAACCTTCAAAATTTATATTTAGGAATAAAGAATTTTATTCTCCCCTGGCCTTCTGTGGGGTTTTGTAGGGAATGAAAGAATGACCTAGTTTAGAAATTACCTTCATAACCTATTAATACCATAAACCTAAATGACACTCAAAAAGTTCAAGTTGCCTCAAAGCTTGAAAAGCCTGCATTTGAGGGCAATGTTATTTATCAAAGACCCAGATTTGAGCTAGCTATGGGATTCCATCCCTGTCTTTCCAGCATTTTATCTCAATACTACTATTTTCCTTTCAGCAGCATCTGCTGGAGTGTATTTCAGCCTTCAGGAATAGTAATGCTAAAGAGTGAAGTAAAGGTTAAATCTGGGAAGAATGATTTGCTTTCAGTACAGAAGGAATTACAGAATAAATAAGGTCCCAAGAGAATTCATTTCCCACCTCACTGGGCTCTCATCTGAATTTATAAGTGTAGCAAAATATTCATGACCAACTTTCAGCTTCTTCTCAAAAGAGCTCAAGGAAATGTTCAGATTTTTTTTTCCCCAGGGGAGTGGAGTGAGGTAGGCAGGGGAGGAGAGGAAAGCAAGGCAGCCAGAACCAAATGTCTTATCACTAGTACTGTATTACTGAAGATAAACCTTTTATTAAACACCAGCGGGGGTGATGGGAAATTAAACTGAATTTAAAGATTACTTCGTGTCTCTACTGTCTGAGATAGGTGATTGCCAAGGCCATGATCTGCTTTCTTGGATCTCCAGAAGCCAGGGAGGGGTCAAAACATTTCAGTGTTAAATTTTAATTCTACAGTAGTTGGAAAGTAAATCCCTTCAAATGTGACCCATCTCTGGAAAGACCAAAAGCAAAGACTCTACCTGACGTCTAAAATGTTTTTCTCTTCTATAAGACGAGGTAATGCAGTATGCTAAACAGATAAAATTGACAGTGGTAATGCTTCGACCTGGCCCCGGAGGGAATTTGTAACCAGGGATTGCTTAAAGTGTAACAAATTCAGTAATATTAGCATAGGATTATATTTTGTCAACCAAATAAATCACACCACTGCAACCAACCAACTCACAGGGCAGTTGATGTGGGAGGAGGGATTCTTGGCTAAGAGTGGTGGGAAAAACCCTCCCTTTACTTGGAAATGTCTAGAACAGAAGAACATGTACCCTGATTTTCTGGGAGGTGTATCCAAAATTACATTCCACCCTTTGTCTAATACAGGTATGTGAAATTTAATTCTTTTGAAACAAGAAAAGGAACACTATAATCTTCAAAATATCACCATTTTAAACAATTGCTTAATCCATTTTTAAATTCACTATTCTAACACCTGATTTACCTGTGGTAGAAAAAAATAGTATGAGATGAGGATTGTGCAGTGGGCAGTCGCTGCTTTTGGAGTGGAAGGAAGTAGAATGAAGAAAAATAGGTAAGGATTGCGCAGTAGAATGCTGAGTTTAACATGTTCTAATCAGGGCTGCCAGTAATACACCTCAGTACCACAGACCATGGCAGAAAATATCAATAGTTTTTTTCTTTTTTCATTTGATATAAAAATGTAGCACATTTTATCCTAAGGGTAATAGAAGGCCAATCGCTTCCACAGCATTTCACATTTCCTGAATAACTATTTGTGGATTGGAAGACTGGATGTGATTGGTGCCACCTACCGGGCTAAATGCAGAAATACAAATCTGTCAACAGGTTTTGAAACTTATCTCTGAACAAATTAATGTTAGGCGGTATGATTCTTCACTGGGAGAATTATATATTAGGCAGTGATAAATTTCGGTTCAAAGCCTTTAGAGGTATAAAGGTCATGAAAAAATCACATACATATCTGCTTATTACATTATGGCTCCTGTAGAGATAAGATTTGGTATTTAGTCATAAAACTGACTTCTCTGAACTTATTTCTTGCTCTATGATACCTACTCCAGATGATAATTGTGAGGTTAAACAAAACCATGTTTTCAACATGCTGTATGTCATAGATACTATGGAAAAAGAAAAATGGGTCATTTAACGGGTTAGCCTCAAAGTGAGGCCTGCAACTCAGATATATGAACTAAATTCAGTGTTTTTTCCCATGAAATCACTATTTACAAAAATTTGATGATGAGATCATTTAGGTGGCAACTGACATAAATTTAGGAGATGCTTTAAATACAATAGCATTAAATACTATAAATCACAGTGATAAAGAATTGAAGATATTCAGTTTTTTCATTTCAAGCATAATGACATCATGGAGAAAATTTCAACTTGAGAGTTTTCTTTAGAATTCTGCATACATCTTGCTAATCTCAATTCCTAATAAAGATAAAGCAAGCTGTCGGCTTTAACATCTTGTTAGAAATTAAAAATTTTGTTTTCTGTATACTTATTGTTTACTTTCTATTATGAAAAACTATTGGCTTTTCATTTAAAAGAGCAATATAAATTTTATTTTCAAGGAATAACTCAAGAAATTAAAAGCTAATCTAAATAAAATATTGAATAAACAGTAGTCAAAATGATACAGAAGTTGGGGAATGGGGAGCACCAAACCTCTTCCCTATCATATCTCTGTTGGTAATCTCTTACCATAATTGTTCTAAAAATCTCTCCATGGTTTCTCAAAATAATAAAAATAGATCTACCATATTATTCAGCAATTCCACTCCTAGGTGTCTACCCAAAGGATGCAAAAACACTAATCTGAAGGGATATATGCACTCCTATGTTCATTGCAACCCTATTTACAGTAGCCACATTATGAAAACAATCCAAGGGCCCAAGGACAGATGACTGGATCAGGAATATGTGAGACTATCTATCTATCTATCTATCTATCTATCTATCTGTCTGTCTGTCTGTCTATCTGCATGTGTGTGTGTGTGTGTGTGTGTGTGTGTGTACAGTTGATACAACGCAACTAAAGAAACTCTTTGCCATTTGCAATAACAAGAATGGAACTGGGCCTCCCCTGACGAGGCAGGCAGCTGAGCTCCACGCTCTGAATCTGTCCGCAGCCTCTGCAGCGCTGATTTTATCCCAGTCTGCCGCCGAGGGTCCCGTGGCGCGGCAGACCTCTCCTTTCTCGCCTGCTGCTCCCCTCAGCAATGTATTTCCATCAGTCTGCCTGTTCTGTTCCCGGCTCTGTCTCTGGTGAATCCTCACCCTCCGGCGCATCTGGCCTGTACCCCGGTTCTTGTATAAATAAATAAATAAATCTTAAAAAAAAAAAAAAACAAGGATGGAACGAGGGGAATATGTCAAGTTAAATAATTGAGAACAAAATAGATAAATTCCATATGGTTTCACTATATGTGGATTATACATAAACAAAAAAGGGTTAGATAAAACTAAATAACAATCTGACTGTAGAATTGAGGTTACTGGGGTAGGAGGGGTAGTGAAGTAGATAGGTATACAATGGATTATGGTGGAGAATTGATGGTGGATATGGTGTGGTAACATCCGAAGGGTGTGACCCTATGACTCTAAATGGTATACGTTATTGAAAGCCAATATTACCTCAATAAAAAAATTTTAAAAATCCTTTCATGAAGAACATTAATAATTATTTTGTTTGTTTCAATAGACACTAGGTTATAAATAGGTCAACCTAACAAAAATCTAGGACTCTGCTAGATTTCAGATCCACTTGGGTTCAAACAAACCCAAAGAAAGATTTTGTAGATGGATGTGTTATAAAATGAAGATGGCCTATAATCAGTGCTCAGTGACTGTGAAATCAATAAAATACAGGACCAACATGTCACTCATGCCTGTGGCTACATTCATTTATGGTAACTGAAAGTGTAGTGCCCCACTTTTATGCTTCTGGAAGCATAAAAGGAGGGAAGGGAGAAGAGGTGTCGATCTGTGGGGTTGTCCTAGTTCAAAGCTGATTCAATTTTCTGCAAGCAAGGGGCAAATTAACCTCCTGAGGAGATCAAGTTGACTGGAACCCTTCACTGTTTACTATTTTTGGTTTGATTTGAATCCTGAGCTAAAAGATTTTTGGTTCCTTACTCTAGGGTTCCCTTGAGATGACCTTAAGCTAAGTTTTGAATGAAATAAAAACAGAGATCTGTCCTCATAATTTTTCTCTCCTGTATCTTTTCCTGTATCTTTTTAATTCATATCTTAATGACTTTATATTGCTTTCAATTACACTTCAGGTTCTTATTGAAGAAGATAGTCTTAAGCTTTCTACTTCCATTTTTTATCAAAATTTCAGTTAAAAAATATAAATGGAACATTGGATGAAGGATAATTCATCCAGTCTTCTAGATTTTCTAAATTTTTATATGGATCAAGTCAGATCAATAGAGTGCTATGTACCTGGACTAAATCATCTTGAGCTGATGCATCATTTAAAATTTTCAAATTACTGATAGCTTATCAGATTGTGCCAAAGAACTTATAAGAAACAGTCTAGGAAATGTGGGTTCTGAATTTATTTTAGAAATATTATTGAGGATATTGACTACTATAACATACATAGTTACAGTCCAGTCCTCAAAATAAAGATCTGGAAGAGCAATTATCTCTGGTCTTAGCACTAGTAAAAAAAATAAATAAATGAAACTATGTTCCTTCTGAGCAATTGGTTTATTGCCATTTTGTGGATACTGTGAATCCATGTTTTGTTTTGCTTTTTTCTGGGATTCTTTCAGAACCACCATGAAGCCTACCTCTGTCAATTACATACTACTTCTATTACTCATTTTCATACATTTACCTGGCTTCATCTTATTTTTCCTTTGCCTTCATTTAACTCATCTGTTTTTTAATCCAATGTATTATGTGGATTTTATAAGTTTTTCAAGACCTTTATGGAATAAGATTGAGAACAAATTAGAGAGACGTATACTGATACTAGTAAAACATTATCATTCCTTAGGCATAATTTCTCACTGTAGTTTTATTTTTAAAGTACAGAGTTTGAGAGGAAATGCAAATGGCCAACAGGTATATGAAAAAATGTTCAACATCACTTGTAATCAGGGAAATGCAAATCAAAACTACCATGAGATACCATGTTACACCAGTGAGAATGGCACATATTAAAAAAAGTAGCAACAACAAATGTTGGTGAGGTTGTGGAGAAAAAGGAACTCTCCTGCACTGTTGGTGGGAGTGTAAACTGGTCCAACCACTATGGAGAGCTGTGTGGAGATTTCTTGAACTACTAAACATAGAGCTTTCATATGATCCAGCAATTCTACTCCTAGGTATTTACCCAAAGGACACAGAAACATCAATTCCAAAGAGCACCTGCACCCCTATGTTTATAGCAGCACTGTTTACAATACCTAAGCTTTGGAAACAACCCAAATGCCCCAAAATAGATGACTGGATCAAGAAGATGTGGTACATATACACCATGGAATATTACTCAGCTTTCAAAAAAGATAAACACATGCAATTTGCAGCAACATGGATGGCGCTGGAAGGGATCATGCTCAGAGAAATAAGCCAGAAAGAAAAAGAAAAATACCGGATGGTCTCACTCATAGCAGGAATCTAGAAAACTTAAATAAGGGACCAGGAAAAAGAATAACTATAAGAAAGTAAAAATCAAAATCAACAAACAACTATGAACCAGAGACACTCTATGGGGGGTGGGGGGCGGGGAAGGGAGGGATTGGGGTCAAAATAAGGGGGTCTCAATTGTATGGGGAATATAAAAATAAAAAAATTATATAAAAAAATAAAGTACAGAGTCTGGATTGATAGATTCCTGAAAATTTAAGAACCCATTCTTCCTGCCACTGCCCTAAATCCTAGAAAAAGGACGGAGGTGGGATAAAAGCTAATATTTTGTGGGGTCTTAACTGCCTACTGGCTACATATGCTAAATACATAATATAATACTTAGTCTTTACAAAGGAAATTTTAATTTCCTCCCAAGGAATTCTTACCCTGGTACAAAAACTTCTGAGTAATAATAATATGATGATAGTGATATAATTTAACTATCTGCTATGCACTGTATTGCTCAAACTCTGTGCCTGTGATACTCTACCTACCTTGGGTCCCAGGGAGATTAAAAGTTGTTTGCTTTGGCTCAGAATTCAGCTGTAAGTACAGTGATAATTTCAGGTCATTGGCCTTCTGGTAGTTCTTCAAGGCTCCAATTCTCAGCTCTATCACCTTGCCATGAAAGTCATTCTATAAGAGAACATTTTTCAGAACTACTCATATGGTCTTGGCTTCTCTAAATCCACTGATATTATAATGCTTTTTTATTAAGAGTTAAAAAATGATGTAATCACATTCAGTCCTTGAAAGCTAGGCAAAAATTATTTGTGATGGTTTTCCCATTTCAAATCTAGAACATAGGAAACAACACTACTTATCCAAGATTACCCAAGGAGAAGCTGGAGATAGGTCTCTCCAGTCATTTCTCCATGATAGATTTCTTTTAGGGGGACATTTGGTAGTCCAGATGAGGGAAATGTCCTTAATAGTGTGAATCTATGTCTTTATTTTGTATGAATAAAACTGAATTATCTTGCAAGACCTTGGTACCTGATGGATGTTGACTGGATCCTGGTACATGATCCATTCCATTTTCCTCTGTTGTTTTTCCTGGTGGAAGAAAGACCCTCTGGGTGCCAAAGTAAATTGAGACCAGAAATCAGTTTTCTCAATATGCTGTAAATATTTTATAGCAAAATCATCGCATCATAGTCACTAATAAATTGGTTTCAACTTCAAAATTCTAGTAAATGGCGTTACCTTTATAACCCATTCTCCCAATAGTTAGAAGCTAGAATAGAATTATTTCCTATGAATGAGTTGGTTGTAGGAAGACTAGATCCATGCACGACACCTTCTGAATAAATCTTTAAATACTGTATTAACGAGTGTTTTTTACGTCAAATAACTATTGCAAAGTTGTATTGTTGTTATAGCTTCTTCCATTTTGTCAAGCTAATATGTTTTCCCAGAAACTTGCAATGTCACTCTGACTCAAATATAATCTTCAAGAAAACCAGATTGCTTATAAAAATTTGTATCAGGTCAAGAGCATACCATAGTTTTCAGGCAGATTACTGCTATATTAAAGATTTTGAATCTATCAGTTCTACATGCCACTATGGTTCAGAAAGGTCATACTACCTTCTTCATCTCCTTCAGTTCACATGATGTGTCCAGTTCATTCTTGATTTTCCTAGATGACAAGAGGGTTTGGGGAACCTGGGATAAAAAAAGAAAGCTAGAAGAATTGGTGGTCCCAAGAAAGAAATGCAATGTTGTGGCAGTGAATCCAATATATGCTAAAGAGCCAGATACTACTATCTGCCTACCCAAATTAGATTTGAGTGTAAATAAGCTGTTCCTATCTGTGTAGCATCAACAACTTTTAAATTCTAAGTACCACATAGTACACTTGCCTTTGCATCTTGTGAGTCTGCCTTATTTTTTATCTGTGGTGTTTTTGGTTGATCTCTGTATTCATCTGTGTCAAATGTCTGTAAAGAGACATTTTGGCATAGCTTTAAAATATGGTAATACTCCCTACCCTTCTTGGTTTCACTTTTATGGTTTCAGTTACCTGAAGTCAATCATAGTTAGAAAATATTACATATAAAATGATTTTGAGAGAGAGAGAGACCACATTCACATAATTTATTATAGTTGTTCTATCTTATTATTAGCTATTATTGTTCTTTTACATCTAATTAATAAATTAAATTTTATCATAGTTATGTATAGAGAAAACATGAATATGTAGGGTTTGGTACATTCAAACCTATGTTTCAGGCATCCACTGGGGATCTTGGAACATATCCCCTGAGAGTAACAACTGCAGTGGCATTAGTGGAGGAAGTGGAAAGCCAACACAGGTCAGGCTTTCTGTTCAAACCAGTCAGCAACTTCTCAGGGCCTGACATAAAAATTATTCTAGCAAAGGGGTTACAGAATGAAATGAGCCCCTCTATTTGGTTCCTGAGCATGCCTTATAACTATGAACTTAACCGTTATTATATGTCAATCACAGCTATAAGCCATTTAATATACTAATTTATATTACTTAACAATATTACACGTATTCTTATTTAATCCTCAGGACTATTTTTATTTCCACTTTTTAAATGAGAAGCCTAAGATTTGGAGAAGCTAATTAATTTGTTTAGAGTTACACAGCTAGGAAAGTACAGAGCTAAACTTTGAAACAGACCTCTTAAGCTCTGAAACCTATGTTCTTAATCACTAGGCAAGCTGCTCTTCCTCCATTTCTCACTGTCTAAAAATATGGGTCAGGAAAGCCAGTCACAAACTAAGGTATATGAACATCCCTTCTAAAAAGTCTTTTGGGAGCTTTACAGAACCTATATTTTGATGGAGGAACTGTGCTGGCACATTTCCTATCACAAGGACTAAAGAGCACAGGAACTACAACTTCTGCCAACTCATAGGACTGATTTGTAGCTGCCCCTGAGAACTAGTAGCTGATCTCAGTACAAGATACAGGACTTGAAGGTATCCTGGTTATTTATGGAAAGGTGAGATGACAAGGCAGTCAGAGATCACACCACACACCGGTTTATATCACAAGACACAATCTACTCTTTCAGTCCCTTGGTCTGTGAAAGAGCACTCAAGCCCCAAGGACTTAGTCACAAAGGAATTTCCAAGGCTGAGTGATTTCCCAGCAAAAGACCCTACTATTGTTATTTAAACTACCTAGTCAGTTGTTGCAAAATCACAGGGGATTTAGAATTAAGTATTCATTTGTTCATTCCACTCACATTTATCTAATATCCACTCTTTCCTAAGGATTGTACTAGTTGTAAAGGATTCAGAGGCCAAAAAGGCAATCAAAATAGTAGAGGAACTTGCATCCCAGGGGAGGGAGGGAGACATGAAACAAATAAAATAATAATGATAAAATAGTAATAAAAATTTTAAAATAATAAGGTCTATTATAAAAAATGCTGTGAAGGATATGAACAGAGTTGTATAACAGAAAGTGAGGTGAGCTGCCCTATTTTAGGTGGAGTGAACCAAAAGGACCTCCCTGAGTATGTGAACTGAAGAAAAAAACTAAAGGATGAGAATAAGCCACCTGTGAGAAAATAGCATTACAGGCTAGAGATAAAACAAGAGCAAAAGTCTTGACTTAGGAAAGATCTTGGCATGTTTGAGAAACCAAAAATAGGCCAGTGTGTTAGTTTCATAGAAAGCAGGAGGAAGACGTCTATGAGAGGAGATTAGAGAAGTAGGCAGGAGCCAGATTATGCCACAATAAGGAAAAGATGTAGAGGGTTTTCATAGGAAAAGTGGCATGCTTTGTTTTAAAAAGATCACTTTGACACTGTGTAAGGAATGGATTGGAATAAGTCATGGGTGGGAGCAGGGACACATAAATAGGAGAATGGAAAAACGTCTTTGCGCAATGGTCTAGAAAGCAATACTTTCAAGAGATCCTTAGAGGCACACCTTGTTCCATAGCATCTCCATTTCCTTCCAAAGCATCTTGTTTTTCCTTTCCTGTTGGAGGAGGGGAAACAAACAAACAGAAATATGTGTCTGTCCAGTTATTAAAACGAAGTTAGAAGAAATTACTAAGTATCAGGGGCAAGGGAGTTGCAGGAACACAGCAAACCATAGAGATAGGAAATGAATGGACCTAACCCTAAATCTGGGAACATGAGAGATAAGTTTGATGATGATAATGACAATGATGATAAAGCAATAACAATTTTGAACAATAATGATTGTGCAATATCAATACAAATGAGTTCCTTATGCATCACTTAAGGTCATCTGATGGCAATATCTCTGGGGCTTAGACCACTAATTTGTCATTTTTAAGAGTCTTTACATTGTTAATTTTTAATAATTTTATAAGACTCTCAGAACAAACTAATGTTGATCATCATTTTCCATTCCTTCTTAAATGTAGAGGATTGATATGGATGATTTACTAAGCCCTAGATGAAAAGATTTTAAAAAGTTAAAGACACAGAAGTTTTATAGCTAGTCTATATTTTTCACAACATTTCATCCATTTGGACCACACTTTCTATATCAAGGAGATTCTGAGTGTTGGAACTTCAGATGTTACAGATAATCTGTCTTCCGCATCTGACAACAGTGGAAGTGCGACTTGTTCAGGAGATCATTTCCTTGACTACCACCAAATTCTTACCAGATTCTGTTTCATTTCCTCTGCTTCGTCAATGAGCTCCATAACTGAAGATTCATCACTCCCTTTCCCTGCCATGATTTGCCTCATGATCTGCAGACTAGAAGGAAGAGAAAGAAATCATAAAACATCATACTTCCAAAAGAGTAAGATTAATATTCTGCAGCCAGTCAGAATGTACTCTACCATAGTAATGAGATAGGGAATGAAATCACAAGTTACAAAAGTCCTTTTGGACGCCAATTCCAATTAGGATTCAATTCCTAATTAACATTTACTGTAGCTATCTGTTCTATAATGAATTCTGTGCTCTATAATACCCCAAACTTGGTTCTCCAACAGACATGAAGACTTCACTCCTTCAGAAAATGCTTTGGTACATGACTTTTGCCCCTGTGAAGAAGGGGGTCAAAATACCTGTTGCCTTCAGGATAAATCCCAGAATTATTCCCTGCCCCAGATCCTTGCAGTTTCCCCACCTCGCTTCTCCATATAAAGAATCTAAGTTAGTTGGGGAATTCACTTCCCCTTATCCTTATTGTAACTCTCAGAGAATATAAGGAACTAAGCTTCTAACAAAATCTGAATCAGTACCAAGTTTGACTGTGGATATTCTTTAAAGGTATTAATTGATATTTATGTTCACTGCATATTTTCCTCTCCAGTTCTATTCTCTTGTCTTGAGAGAAGTTTGGATTTTTGTTTTGTAAGCAGCTGGCCCTTGACCACAACTTTCTGCCTGAATTTTGTTCTGAGAACATCTGCATTCCTGAAGGTGTTCCCTAAGATAGAGAATGAAGGTGGACCCACTAAGGTGAGATGCCTTGAGACTAGAAAGGAAACAGACTTGGTGAGTTGGTGTGTTGGGTTGGGTGTCCTAGTGAAGAGAGAAGTGTGGAGAAGTTCCTTCCTAATCCAGAGGACTCCAAAGCTCAGAAAAGATTGCCATTCCGCTGCTTAACATGAAAAGTATAGAATTATCTAGTCTGCAATGATTTCACAAGCTTGAATAAGTATCTATCAGTGTGACCACTGAATACATTAAACTCTTATCTGTGTCTTGGGGGGACCCCCTAGGAAAAAAGATTAACTGTAACTGTGAGATGAGGCCTGAATCATATTTAAGTTTATTAAATGAAAATGAAGTATTCCTTGCCACTCTGACTTTGTGGTTGCAACTTTTTACCTACAACAGATGCATGTCATAACTATTTTATTAAAAAATGCAAGTAACCATTGTTAATCCTATGGATTAAAGTTCTCTAGCCTTTCCATCTCTAGGAAATCCTTAGTAGGAAACACTTACCTGTTTTGTTTTTCCTCCAAGTTGGACATTAACTTCTGCAATAAGAGGTTGTTCTTATTTTCTAGAGGTTTTAGCATTTCTAGCAGTTCCTGCTTCCTTAGCTTTAAATCCTCATTCAATTCTTTCAAGTAGTTGACCTCTATTTTAGAACTTCTGCAGGAAGAGATACCATAATGCCTACTTTTAGTAGGTTAATAATGGATACTTTCTTTCCCCTCTTGGATTAATACCTACCGGCATCTTCTGTCAGACTCACCTTGTTCTGGAGGGCACGTAAGAGTCTTCAGAGTTTGCACTACTAGTCATCTTGGAAGAAAACTTTTACTCTGTAAATAAAGAGGTCTTCTTGAAAATATGTGCCTTCTTGTCCCATTCAGTTAAGTCATCATTTTTGTGCTGCTGGTCTTGAAATTCTTGTTGCATTGGATTAATTTTAGCTACAGTTTGATGTCATAATGGCCCTAAGGCCACAAAATCAACAGGTCTTTTAAGTAATTCCAACATCAATGGCAGTTTCTTGACAGAAAATACTACTGATCAGTTCTTGCCTTAGCGTTAGCCAAATGCCAAAATATTTATTCTGAAGTCTGATTGAATAGGAAAGAACCACAGTACTTCTATATTACAAAAATTATTTTGTTATAAAATAGTCACAGGTCAAAAAACTTCATCAGTGTCATTTTCCATGACAATAAATCTCTATGGAGTGCCTTTTATCTGTAGGGCTGTGAGTGAGAAAAGATAAAGACACAATACTTACCTTCAACGGGCGTGAGGGTATCACTAAGAGATATTTAAAAAGATAGAGGCTAAATTGGTAAATATAAAATATGGATATGATATTGGGTAATATATGAACAAATTATCATTCTTTTCCCATCTTTAAAACCTGATATATCACAGTAACAAGGCAGAATAATATGTAGCAAGATGATATAATTTGTGAAAAATCCATGCTGTCTGTTTGCCCTTCCACAGTCAGGCTCTTTTCCTGGGGAAATAGAAATCCTCCAGATTCTGATTTTACCTCCATTCTCCTCTACTTATTAGAACTACACTTCATCTAGATCTTTACTATCTCTTGTATTCATCTATGTCACTTAGTGAACAGAAGATAACCCAAAGAATTTTACCATTCCTTAAGCCCTTCAAACACAGGGTTAGGACAATATTTTTAGTGACTTTCTTAAAGCGTATAAAGTCATGTCAGTTTCAAGTATTAAGTGAGCATTTCCAGGCATTTTCTACAGGCATTCCCCAAAGTAACTTAAACCTTTGTCTTCAGGGAAACCTTAAGGCGGAGTATTGTAGTGGAACTTGAGATTTAGTTTGTCAGACCTTGGTTTGAAATTCAGCTTCCATGTGCACAGAAAGCTGACTGTGAACAGGTTACTAAATTCTATGAGCCTTGGTATGCACCAAGGGAATAAGAATGAGAATGGTAAATAATGTTTTCTTGTGACAGTGAAATGTAATTTTATTATGTGAAGTTCTTGCCTCCTGTTGGGTGTTCACATTTTAATGAGCTTTTGTTTGGTTGGTTTGGATTTTAAGATTGTTTAGTGCCTTAAGTGTTCAGATACAAAAAAAAGCTGCTTTATAATTTTGTAATCTTTATTTGGGAAGCAAGATTCCCCAAATAGGATCCCACAAAACCTTAATATGTCCTTAGTTAAATAGGATACCTATCTCTCCTATATGTCTTCTATGACTAAACTTCTCTCTAGGCAGTCTCTATAAATACTTTTTTCTAAAAGCATATATGTCAATTGTAAGTTTTGTATGATCGATAATATGACAATAAATTAGAATAGCCATATCAGCTAAAGCATTGTATAATTCACATGGTGTTCCTGTGAAGAGTTTGGATTGAATGAGGGTGTGCACACTCCTCACAGTCAAAAGAATTAAGAGAGGGGGCTCCGTGGTGGTGCAAGGGAATACATTTTGTACTATGAAGTTATCCACAGCCACAGTTGAAGTTATCCAACTGCAGCGCGAGTTCAATCCCCAGCCAGGGAGCTAACCCACATGGCACAGCAGACCTGTCCTGCCTCGCCCACTGCTCCCCTCAGCAGTGTATTTCAGTAAATCTGCCTGTTCTGCTCTCCACTCTGTCTCTGGTGAATCCTCTCACCCCTGCACCTCTGGCCTGTACTCCAGCTCTTGTATGCATAAATAAATAAATCTTTTAAAAAAAGGAATTAAGAGAGTTTGTTATTTATTAGTAACTTTTCAGACTGTAGATATGGCAAGTTATAGAGGACAAAAATGGCATTGATCACTAAAGCATAGCCTCTTTAAATTTCATGTTGTGACATTTGGCTGGCAGAATTATGTTAGAATTTTAAAACATTTAATGGGCAGGCAGCATCCCAACTCACCTTCCTTTCTGTCCTTGCTTGTGAATGATTGAAAGTGGAAGAACACTTGCTATTCTGATGTGCTCTGCTCTATACCCAATCAGCACCTTATATTTCTGAACATTCTGATGCCTGTTTCTTCACCTTCCAATATGAATTCCAAGGAGAATATTTGCCTTATAATGAAGACTATATAATGAAGAACTTAAAACAAACAAAAAGGATTAAAAGGCAATAATTGATAAATATATTTTCTCTGGAATGTGGGGAGAGAGGGTGAAACTATAGATAATTACTAGAAGTAGAAAGGAGGGAAGTTGAATACTACTTTTTCCTGAGGTATTGCAACATTTTTATCTATCTCAAATCACCATTTTGTCCCTTTAAACTAATAAAATCTTATATATTAATTACATTTCAATAAAACTGGAAAAAATTAAAGCAGAAAAAAAAGTCAACCGTTGATTAAGGAAGCATTGTAAGAAATCTGGAAAGAGTGATCACCTGAGGTTTGGAATATCACCCTAACATTGGCAAAGGAAGCCAAGCAGGCAAGTGTGAAATGATTGCCAAGTAGTGCTAAGGGTGAAGGTGAGTTTGGGAATTATAAATTTGTCATGGCATGAATCAGCAGCTATGCATTTATCTCCAGCAGTCCGTGGCAAACTTCAAGCACAGTAAAGAGAACAGTAGTTGGCTGACCCTGGATTGGACCTTAGCAGAATAGAGAAGTACAAGTTCAAGGGACGCAGGGGTTGAGAGTGCTGGTGAGAGCATTCGTCAAAAGGTAGATCATATGTTGAAGAAAATGGAGAATGGCATGGCTTATAGAGAGAAAGTAAGGAAAGGGCTGAGTTTAAGGAGTCTGAGGGTGGAAAAATAAGATGTCATGGTGAGTGAACCAATGAAATAACTCATGGAAACACATCACTGTTTAGATAACATACAGTAGCAAATTCATAACTTTTTTCTGCATAAATTTTATATCTGTTGCTTCCTGTCACTGCATATTATTCACTGAAATTCATGTGGGACCTCAAAATAGGCCTTATAACAAGCTATTCACAATGACCTCATCCAACATGATAGCATTTGATTTTAGTATCTGTTAAGGAAAAGCGTGATTGCTCTATAATTAGAGAACTCAGAGCAATAGCATTTTAGTGTTAGTTTTGCCAGTAGAAAATCAGATTGGTCTAATTAAGCCAGGTCTCCAAGAGTAAAGGCAATTATTTTCGTATTAAAGCAGAAAAAAGAAAAGAAAATCAAGATGCTTTCCTATCCTCACCTTCCTCAGCCTCAGTTGCAGCAATAAAATTACAGAATTCCTTAGGGAGGAAACAGGAAGACCTTGTGGTCCTTTCTAACGCAGAGCCAGTTCAGCCCTTGAGGAGATTATATGAATTTCATTAACTAAAATAAGAAGAGGTGTGTTGGCAAAATCATAATAGTAAAACCTGTGGGCTCTTAAAGATCACCACCTCTCTCTGCACTGTGATGATCATTTTGTGCTCGGCTTCACCTTAACCCTAGCTATCCCTGTCCCAAGCTAGGCCATATCTACATTTTCAGTGAATTCAAATAGTTGAGAAGATTGAGATTAATTTCAGGACTCTTGAGCGCTCAGTGCTTTTGTTGAGGTCTTTTGGAAAATAACACATGCCGTCAGGGTGCCAGCTGCTTAGTATAATGGTCTTCAAACTGAGGAGCATGAACTTTATTCACAAACATTTTTTCAGGAAATGTGGAAACCAGGGTAGTTCTCAGGGAATCTTTTTCTGGATCCTCAATTTCTACAGGCAGTCTTTACTAACATGGATGAGTCCAAAAATGACCCTTAGTCTCTTTTCCAGCTCCTCATGCCTAGTCACACTTCTCCCACATATTAAAATGGGATACTTTTCAACCATCTGGAATCTTACTTCAGTGACTTGCTTCTGTTTCCCCAGAAATTTGCTTTGGGGGTGGGTAAAGACCTCTAGGGTGTTAAATTAACCACAACTCAAAGTGTTGTGATTGAGGTTGAGGAGACTGAATGATTGTCAATGACCAGATTACAATTTTTTTGTACACAGGTGGCTTCCAGGTCTTTGCTTTCAACAAAATTGAAAGATGACCTAATCAAATTGTCAGTTTAAATTTATTAAAAATAAATTTTGATGATAAATCGCTAAATGAGTTTTGGCTTATAATTGCCTAGGAGTTCAAAAATTTGAGTAACACTGCTATAAAAGAGTATGTTCATTGTCTACCTACTTATTTGTGTAAATGAGTTTTCTCAGTATCATATATAAAGCAAAAAAAAAAAAGAGAGAGCGCAAAATTGAATCTGAAGCTTATCTTACTCCTACAGTAAATAATAGCTACTTATAAATACATGGACTAAATAATAGAGAAAGAGTAGCATTTCCAAAATGATTTATTAAACTTATTTTTGAAAATACATTTGTGCTTATAAGTTGTACATTACTAATCATTATAATGCTGATGCAATTCTGAAGAAATTTTAAGACTTAGAGCCTTAAGTTCTCAAGAAATGAAAACAAAAAAATTTCAATGTACATACATATATTACAGAGAAACATGATAGATAGGGTGATAACAAAGGACTTCTATGTATGAAATACATTGCATTTGAATAAAATCCATGAGGGAATTGATGGAAACATGAGTTCAAAGAGAAAAAGGAGAATATGTAAAAATCTTGACTGCTAAAACAGTACTTGCTCATGTAGTTCATGTATTCTATTGGATACATATGTTTAAAACAAATAATAGACATTTTAAAGTGATACTAAAAATTTATTTGAGAAACATCAACATTGCAATACACCAGAACTTGTGTTTTTGTAATTATTTAAGCTTAAATTAAAATTTTTAAATGTCAACCGAGAAACCTGTGAAAGAATGCTTAGTTTTCCAAAATCCCTTTAGACTACAAAAGCAAAATAATAGTCTCAATTTCTCTGCTCTAGGGCAGTAGTTCTCTGGTTCTGATGTATTTAAGAATCTCCTGGGAAACTTGTGAAAGTTGCAGATGTCCAGGCTCATCCCCAGAGATCCGGACTTGGTAGATTTGGAGAAAATGTGGATTTCCAGAGCACTCCCCACTGATTTTGACTTGTGATCAGTGAACTTGCCTTTCAGAAATATTACTTCAAGGTTTCCTCTCAGATAACTATGCCTCAGCAGAAATCTTCCTTCTTGAAACATTTTTTTTTTTTTAGGTCATCTGGAGAACTGCTTCCTCTGAGTCATACTTTGGGTCACATCTTCACCTTTCACTTGGGTTGCTCTGAAAAAATTTTGTAAAGCTTTCCTGCATTTGTAAACTATTCAAGATATCATTCTATGATCAACTCTGTCCAGTCATACTGCTGCCCACAGGGAACCACACATCTTCAATTTTTTCACTATTTGAAACTTTATAAAGAAAGTGTTTTTTCTTCAGGAAAATATCGGCATGTGTTTTTTTTTTCCCTTAGGGCTAAATTGAAACTAGTTTTGTTTTCTGGCTTGCTAGGAATCTCAGAGACAATTTTGTGTCTTTGGATATTTGGATTCTAACCCCTGCTTATGACCTTCTAGTCTAAATTATTTTTTTGTCCCTGATTTTTTAAGTAAGTTTTAAAAATTGTTATTATTTTCATAAGTCACCTCAACTTCTTTGTGGAATATGGATACAATAGGTTGAATCCAAAAACATTTTCTAATTTTATTTGTGCATGTATTTGTGTGCCCACATGTGCCTGGTTGTGTATACATCTATAAAGGAAGTTTGTTTTGCTTATGGAAATAGAAAATGAGTTTTATTGTTATATTTTGGGTGTACTCAACTGTAAGACATGCCGGTATCTCCTGTGCACAGCTGGGGCAGTGGGGGTATGACCAACTAAACACACTTAGTGCCTGGCTGGGTGCGCTGACTTCAGTTCCTTCAGGGAACTGTAGTACATAGCAGATAAGAAAAGGAAGAAAAATCTCTTGATATGGATCTGTCTAACCTGTCAAAAAGGAGACACAAAGTACATAGAATTCACCTTAGTGGAGGTGTGACTGTGACGGTGCCACAATAATCCTTTAAGTATACCTTACATCTTTTGATGGTCACTGAAAACATGAAAATAATTTTTTGGTAGAAGGTAGAATATTTTCTATCTCCTAGAATATCTATAGCATTTAGCAATCATTTATTTCTTCTTTATTTAAAGAAAACCCTATCATATGTCCTAGACTTATGCAACCTCCAGATTACAAAGTAAAATCAGTCAAATAAGACAAAATCTTTACTTGTAGGACTTTTCAGGCATAGAAAGTCCTGCAAAGGCTACTAGTTATGAGTCTCTTTTTTTAAATTAGAGGAATATATTTCCTAGGCAATAAGACCTTTCAGGTACAAGGCCTGGCCAAGGTAGGGGATAAGGACAGCCCCCACTTACCTTCTTGGTGAGATCATCTTTTATCAAGGCACAACTCACACTGTATGTATTCAGTGGACATGCCTTGTGTCTACAATGGGATGTATGGATGGGAGTTACCTGTCAGCTCTTCTAGAAAATACCATGCCAATCCTGCCAATTCTTAATGACCTTCCAGAAAAAACTCAAAGTCTGGAAATGTTTTTGTGACCTCTTGACTTTTCAATACTGAATGGATCAAACAACCTATTTTACTTGGCCCCCAGGCTGCCATGTTGAAACCTCTGTCCGAGAGAAATCAATCCAATAAACCAGTGTAACTTTAATTAAAAAGAAAAGAAAGTAATCTATTTTTCCCTGTGCTTTCTGAATTTTGTTTTGGTTTTCTTTGTTCTTGTATTGAAGTGATCTTTTTTAAAGAAGCCACTTAAATCCATATATAATTCAAGCAATGTTTTCTTAAATTACATGAAATGTCAATTTGACTTCATATCCTTATTTAATAGATTTAGGTTCAGTATGTCAGAGAGTGAGTGACAGAGGTAACATTTTTCAAAATAAGATGAAAATGAAAAAACAATAGATTTATTGGATATCTATTGCCAGGTATTACAGGGGATATAAAAATTATTA